GTTTTGAATGCTTATCCCTAATCCTAATTTTTTTAGTGATTCCAGCTGTTCTTTGGTGAATTACTTTGACAGGGAATAAAACTATACATAACTCACTAACAGGACCCATTTATGTATTGATGCACATACAATTGGTGAAAGAAATAAATGAGTAGAATAACTTTTTTTTTTTTAAGATTTTATTTATTTGACAGAGAGAGAGACAAGGAGAGAGGGAACACAAACGGGGAGTGGGAGAGGGAGAAGCAGGCTTCCCGCGGAGCAGGGAGCCCAATGCGGGGCTCGATCCCAGAACCCTGGGATCATGACCTGAGCCGAAGGCAGACGCCTAACGACCGAACCACCCAGGCGCCCTAGAATAACTTTTTTTTAAATTCTATTTTATTATGTTATGTTAGTCATCATACATTACATCATTGGTTTTTGATGTAGTGATCCATGATTCATTGTTTGCATATAACACCCAGTGCTCCATGCAGAACGTGCCCTCTTTAATACCCATCACCAGGCTAACCCATCCTTCCCCCCTACCCTCTAGAACCCTCAGTTTGTTTCTCAGAGTCCATAGTCTCTCATGGTTCGTCTCCACCTCCGATTTCCCCCCCTTCATTTTTCCCTTCCTACTATTTTTTTTTTCTAACATATAATGTATTATTTGTTTCAGAGGTACAGATCTGTGATTCAACAGTCTTACACAATTCACAGCAGTCACCATAGCATATACCCTCCCCAGTGTCTATCACCCAGCCACCCCATCCCTCCCACCCCCCTTCACTCCAGCAACCCCCAGTTTGTTTCCTGAGATTAAGAATTCCTCCTGTCGGTGAGATCATATGATACTTGCCTTTCTCTGATTGACTTATTTCACTCAGCATAATACCCTCCAGTTCCATCCACGTCGTTGCAAATGGCAAGATTTCATTTTTTTAATGGCTGCATAATATTCCATTGTATATCTATACCACATCTTCTTTATCCAGAGTAGAATAACTTCTTTAATGCATACTTTTGCACCAGATTGGCTTTCTCAGGTTATCCCAAACAACTGAGTCCTTTGTTCATAATTTGGTGTAGTGTCTGTGTATATAAAGGAGTGAATTAATGAAATTATATTGAAATGAAATTGAAATTACCATAGGGGCATACTGTTATGAAATGAGAAGACTCATCCCATGCGTTAGTATCATTTTTGCTTCACATGACAAACTACTTCAAGTGGCAGAAACTACTAAAAGCAGTTTTTTCTTTAAGCACTTAAAGGTTAACGTATGGATATGAAGACTCTTACAAAGTCTGAACTCCTTGAGAGCAAGGTCACATTCCACCGATTTTTTTTTTTAATTTTATTTATTTATTTTAGAGATTGAGGGCAGAGGGAGAGAGAGAATCTCAAGCAGACTCCCTGCTGAGCATGGAGCCTGATGTGGGACTCGATCTCAGGACCCTGAGATCATGACCTGAGCTGAAATCAAGAGTCAGATGCTTGAACTGACTGAGCCACCCAGGCACCAACATCCCATCCATTTTTAAGTCTTTTTTTTTTTTTTTTGTAGTAAACTCTACCCCCAATATGGGGCTTGAACTCACGATCCTGAGATCAAGGAGGAGCTTTTCAAGAGTTGCATGCTTCTCCGACTGAGCCAGCCAGGCGCCCCACATTCCATCCATTTTTGTATCACTCCTACCCAGTATCTCAGCAGATGGTAGGAGTGCAGAGAAGGTTGATAGCTGAGTACTTACCATTGGCGTTTGGGCTCCACCAGCAATCTGTGCATTCCTGGTGCTCTGCAGAACTGTGCACTAACAATAGCAGGGCTTGTGGGGAAATGTCAGGACAGGGACTGACCATTCACACTCCCTGCAGTTTTGTAGGCAGGCCTGTGCTAAGACCAGTGCCTGGTACCCGGGCCAGTGAACTGTGGCTGGAGGCTGCCGCAGCTCAGACTCCACATGGACGGGAAAGGCACTGCGGGAAACGCTGCCGCACTTTACTTCCCGCCTGGTTGTCGGGCTGGGGCACCGCACGTGCGGGCAGCTCCCTGGCCGTGGGGCTCCGGAAAGGTGGGCTCAGGGACCTTTGCAACCCGCCAACAGCCTGAAAGCCACACGGGCTCACAGCACGCCCCTCTGGGTGGAGAGATCTGCAGGCAGCCTCCCTTTATACATCTTTTTAAAAGGCAGCTAGAAAAATCTCCTGTTGCCAGTGCACCAGCTGAGCAGAGAGCTTTTCTTTCCTGCTGAAGATCATAATTCTGTCTACTGGCTCTTCTTACTTGGGAAAAGTGGCAGAAGCAGGTAGTAAGAGAGACTGTATTGTATTGTGTTTTGTTGGAAGGGTCTGAATTTATTGCCAAGTAAAGGCAGAGAATATTGCCAAGTAATGGCAAATGCGGATCAGGTTTTCTGGAGTCAGTATCTTGATCTGTCAAGACCGAGGAGGTGCAGCTTTCCACAGGTGGAGAGGCTGGCTCTGTGCCAGAGCCAGGCAGTGCTGGGGGCCGGCGAACGCTCAGCCTTCAGGTGGGGGCTTTGGACCCAGGAGCCTGGTCTGGAGCAAGGCAAGAGTTCTCTTGCTCAGGCCGCGTGTGGGAACGCTTGTCATTTTAGTCAAAGAGCAGCAAGGAAGGAATAGCTGTGGGTTTATCCACTGGGGTGTATCTCATGTCTACTCAGATTTAAACGTTTGCTGCTCTCTGGTATCCCTCTTTGAAGTGACTGGAAAAACTGAATTGATTTTGTTCTTTGCTCCCTGACCAGACATGCCTAAAAATAAGCTGAGTTCAGATGTTGGTGTTACGTTCCTGAGCAGAAGCTATACTTGAGAAAAGAGTTTGGGAAATCCAGGGGTTATCTTGCCTTACTCTTTTTAAGCTTTTTCCAGTTGATGTTTCTTTTTTTTTTTTTTTAAGTTTATTTATTTAAGCAGTCTTTACAATGTGGGGCTTGAACTCACGACCCCGAGATCAAGAGCCAAATGTTCTACCAACTGAACCACCCAGGTGCCCGTGATGTTTCTTTTTTAATAATAGTTTCATTAGGTACACTTCACCATTTTAAAGTGCAGTTGACCCTCGGACAACACGGGTTTGAAACGCACAGTCCACTTATACATGGATTTCTTTCAATAAATATGGTACAGTTCTGTCAATGTATTTTCTCTTCCTTATGATTTTCTTAACAGCATTTCCTTTTCTCTACCTTACTTTATTATACGAATACAGAATATAATGCATCTAACACACAAAATATGTGTTAATTGAATGTTGAACATTTTTATGTGCTTATTGGACATTTGATTATCTTTTTTAGAGAAATGTCTATTCAGACTTTTTGCCCATTTTTGATTTGGGTTATTTGTCTTTTTACTGTTGAGTGGTAAGGGTTCTTTATATAATCTAGATAGATACTAGGTCCCTGTCAGACGTATGTTTTATATATATTTTCTTCCCTTCTATGGGTTGTTTTTTACTTTATTGATGGTGTTTTTTGACACCTGAAATTTTACAATTTATTTTTTTATTCTGTGTGCTTTTGATGACATATCTAAGAAACTGGTACCTAATCTAAGGTCACAAGGATTTACTCCTATGTTTTCTTTTAAGAGTTTTATAATTTTTGCTCTTACATTGAGGTCTGACCCGTTATGAGTTAATTTTTTGTGAAAGGCACGAGCTCAGTGGTGATTCATTCTTGGTGCGTCTGCACCATTTGCTGAAAAGACTGTCACTTACCCTTTAAAACATCATGACGTTCTTGTCAACAATCAGTTACCCGTTAACGTATGGGTTTATTTCCGGACTGTCAGTTCTAATCCAGTGATCTTTGTGTTTGTCCCTATGCCAGGGCCACACCATCTTGATTACTGTAGCTTTCCTTTTCTTTTTTTTCTTTCTTTTTTTTTTTTTTTGACATCAGGAAGTGTGACTCCTCCAACTTTGCTTTTCTTTTTCAAGGTTCTTTTGTCTATTAGAAGTCTCTTGGATTTCCATATGAATTTTAGGATCAGCTTGACAATTTCAAACCAACAGAAAAAAGAGAACCTGGGATTTGAATAGACATGACATTGAATCCAAAGATCAAGTGGGGGAGTGTTACTGTCTTAACGGGATTGTTGTCTGACCTGTGTGCGCAGGATGTCTTTCCATTTATTTAGGCTTTGGATTCTTATGATGATGTTTTGGTAGTTTTCACTGTACAAGTCTTGCAGATCTTTTGTTAAGTTTATTTGTAAATATGGTATTCTTTTTGATGCTATTCTAAAATGGGTCTCTTCTAACAGCACATTTTTTTACTCCATTCTACCAATTTCTGCCTTTTGATTGGAGTGCTTAGACCATTTTATATAATTACTGATAAGGTGGAATTTATGCCTCCCATTTTGCTATTTGTTTCCCATGGGTCCTCTGTCTTTTCCTTTATTCCTCTGTTGTGCCTTCTTTTTTGTTAAGTAGTTTCTAGTATTCCATTTTAATTCTGTTGTTTATTTTTTTTAAATATATTTTTGAATTATTTTCTTAATGATTACTTTAGGGGTTACAATTAAAATAGTCTTGTCTTATTTTTAAGCTTTTCCGCGGACTTGAATCTGTCCCTGTAGGAATCCAACTGGGAGAACTCTGATCGCTGTGACTAGAAAGGGAGGGGACAGAAAGTCAACCAGGGACTGTTTGTTATCTGAGAATTATCTGTGTGGGTCGATTTATCTGTTAACTTCTTGGTGGGGTTGGGTTGTTTATACTACAAACCTCTCCACTGAACCGTGATACTTCCCAAATGTTTGATCTGACACAGTTTTTAGGAATCCGATCAGTAGCCTTCCCTCCCGGCTTGGAGATCTGAGAGGCCAGTGCTGGGGTGGTTGGAAGTCAGCATGGTGGTCCTCGCTTCCTCCTCCCACAGCCTGTTCTCTGAGGTCCTGTGCTCTCCTCACGTTTCCCAGGTGTCGAGCCCCCTGCTGAGTCTGGTACGCTCCCAGCTCCCAGGTCTGGAGGGACCCCAGTGCCTAAGACCTTCTCCCACGGCTCCTCATGGACAGCCTGTCATGAAGCGAGGAGCCAGCTGAATGCGCGTAAGCACATCAGGACACCAGGATTTGGCCAGAAGACAGTTCCTCTCCTCCCCTCAGGAATTCTCGGAGGTAATTTTGAATTTGGTCAAGGAAGGCTTGAAAACCTTCCTTTATGTCTTAGTAGAATCTCAGCCACTGGGAAGACAATAGCCTTGCCTGGGTGGATTTTTCTGTACCCCTTAAGCTACACCATGTAAGCAATTACCTAGTACACTTCTCCTGAATTGATTTTAAGGATGGTTCTCAACATATTATGTTAAGCTGTTATAGTAATTAATATTTTATGAAGATTTCCACATGGGTCCTCATTTACTGCTTATAACAAGCTGTGAGGTTGATATTGCTAGTCTCATTTGGTAGATCAGGAGACAGGTCTAGAAAATGCATCCAGGGTCTCACTGATTCATTAATTCACTGAGAACCCAAGGGCTGTGCTCCTGGGTCCTGTTCTAATTCAGGACACACAGTGAACACAACAGACACAAATCCCTGCTTTCATGGGGATCCTAGTTTAGTGGGGGTGTGAGTGGAGAATGGGGATGGGAACAGGCACGGAGATAGACCACAGACAGCTAACAGCTTGAAGGAGGAAATTACATGTTTCGTTACAAGGCATGAATGTAGTGGAGAAAAGAAAAAGCAGACCAAGTTTAGGAGGGTGGGGCAGGTTGCAGTTTTAAAGGGAGTGGTTAGGAAGGTGTCATTAAAAAGCTGACATTTGGACATGGATTTAAGGAGTTGTGCTAACTAACCACTTGGCGTCTGGGACAAGAGCATTGTAGTTAGAAGAAAAGGTGGGTGCAGAGGTTCACTGGTGTGTCGGAGAAAATACCAAGGAGGCAGGGTGGCTGGAGGGGAACCAGCAGAGAGCAGTGAGTTGGCGGGGGAGGTGGTCGGGAGGTAACAGGAACCTGACCATGTCTAGCATTGCAGACTACTGGGGAATTCTAGGTTTGATGATGGGAAATCAGTGCAGGGTATTAAGCAGAGGAGAGACAGGATCTGTATTCCATTTTATTTTTATTTTTTTAGGATTTTATTTATTTATTTGACAGAGAGAGCATAAACAGGGGGAGTGGCCGAGGGAGAGGGAGAAGGAGGCTCCCCACTGAGCAGGGAGCCCGATGCAGGGCTCAATCCCAGGACCCCGGGATCACGACCTGAGCCAAAGGCAGACGCTTCATAGACTGAGCCACCCAGGAGCCCCTGCATTCCATTGTAATAGACTCATTCTGGGCTCTGTATTGATATAGGATATAGGGGGTGGAGGATGAGGGTAGACGAGGAGACTATGTAGAAGCCAATAGAGAAATCCGTTACAGTAATTCAGACAAGAGATAATGGTGGCCTGCCCTGCTGGTAACAGTGGAAGCAGTGAAAAGTGGTCACATTTTGGGTATAGTTTGAAGACAGAGTCCCTCAGATGTCCCGGCAGAATGGGTGTGGGGTGTGAGAGCCAGGTACATGTCTCTAAGTATGTCAGGGATTTTAGCTGCTGTAACTAGACAGAGTTGTCACCCACTGAGACGGGGAAGTCTGCAGATAGAGAAAGTTGGGGTGCAAAAAGAGATCAGAAGTTCGGTTTTGAGCACGTTGAGAGATTCTAAGACAGATGGTGAGTGGACAGTTCTGTACAGATCCCACAGTGGAGGACCGTGGTCTGGGCTGGGGTATAATGGGAGTCTTGAGCCTGTGGATGGTATTTAAAGGCATATGATCAGATGAGATCCCAGTGAAAGGAGAGTTTTGAGAACAGGGTCCTGGAGCATTTCTAGCTCTATGATGAGCAAGAGAAGAGGAAGAGGCAGCAAAGGAGACCAAGCAGGAACAACCAGAGATGTAGACGAAGACCAGGAGGGTGGCATCTTAGAAGCCACAGGAAATCATCTCAGAAGCAGGGTGTTATGAGCTGATGGTCCAGGTGACATGAGGACTGAGAGTTCTCTTGGGTCAGTGCCGTGCAGGTCATTGGTGGCTTTGGTAAGAAGAGTAAAATGACAGGTGGGTCCGGTGACTGTGGCAACAAAAAGTGTCATAAGAGTGGGTTCAGAGGGAAGGACGGAGGGGAGGAGTTGGAGACAGATTGTTGACAACTGACAGCAGAATTTCGGGTGCTGTCCAGGGTAAGTAAGGCCAAGAGCATTAATTTTCATTTGGAAGCATTAGTATTATACTTATAGGCTGGTGGTAATGGTTCAGTAGAGAGTGGAAAGTTGATAATGCAGGCCGGGGGTTGCTGCAGTCATTTCTTGAGCAGGTGAGAGGTGCATCTGCGTACAAGAATACTTGCTTTAGGAGGCATGCAGGTAAGTGTGGGGGGGTAGGCTAGCGTCAGGTACGTGGGGGCCCGGGTGTGGTGCTCACTCCGCCGTTTTCTTCTGATTGCGTATATTTTCTTTGTGAAATGGGAAACAAGGTGGCCAGCTGAGAGGACCGTGGTGGAGGAGGGGTTGCAAGTTTGGGGAGACAAGGGAAGGAGTGCAAAGTCCTCTAGAAAGAGTAGGCACGTGGGAGCAAGACCCCTGTGAGTGTGATTGTGTGTTTCCTTAGCTGGGGAGGAGAAGGTCAAGAATGGAATTCTTGTTTGGCTGAACAGAGGGCGCAGAGTGAGAGGGTGGCCTGAGGTGACAGTGGATGCAGGAGGGAGATGGGCCCACCGAGCTTCACCTGGTGGTGCAGGGGGGTGGCGAGGAAGAGTCTGGACTGGACGGACGGCGGGCGGAGGAGGCGCAGAGGAGGGTCAGCGCTGTCCGGTTAGGGCCCCTGGCGGGAGTGGATGAGGGACACCAGTGCTGGGCTGTAGTTGTTCAGGGAACCAGGGACCTAGGGCAGCGGTAGGTACCTAAACTGCAGCGCTCCTCCCGGCGAGCCCTGCCTCCCTGTCACCCACCCGGCTTCCGCTGCCTGCCTGAGCCGTCCCACTGACCCCAGAGCGGCCTGCCCTCGTAGCCCACCCGCCCCGGAGCCGTGCTGGGAGTGCATGGCTAGCAGCCTTTGCTTTGTGGAGGCGAGGGAGGTGTGTGGAGGTGTGCGGGCTCGGCACTGTGGGAAGGAAGGAGGAAATGTGGATGTTGACCTTTGTAGCGCTCTTCCCCTTCTTCACGTGCCCTGGAAACTGTGTATGTGCTAACCTTTTGCTTTTTAACCTTAACGTGAACGTTTTCGGGTGATTGCATCTTTCTGTGCAGTGTGTGTGCAGGCCCGGAGATGTGGAGCGTGTCCTCAGGTGTGAGGGAGATGGGAAAGCTCCCCGGAAAAAATGCCCTGCAAGGCCGGTCGAATGGCCTTTTTCCCTGCCCACACCCACCTCCCAGGACGTTCTGTTTGAGAGTCTGTCTCCAGCAGATTCCAAGAGCTGTGAAATGGCTCCGTAGTCACAAAAGATCGATGTTGGAGAGGCCAAAATCCCAGAAAATGACATTCCAGCACAAGCAGAGCTATTTTTAAATGTTTAGGATTTATAAGGAGAAACCGTCTTCATGGAATATAAACCACCCCCAATTCACACTTCTGGGATTGAAGTAGCTAAATCTGAAAGATAATTCTGGCTTGTTTTTCTCCCCAAGTGGAGAATGTCATTGGTGAAAACTGATGTCTTGGGCTGAGCAGCTCCGACCCGGCCTTGGCCGTGACCCGGTGCTGGGAAGGGCCGGCGCTGAGCCGGTGCCAGCTGTGGGCCTCTGCCCTGTCACCTCTGCCCTGGGCTAGTGAAGCTTTGGGGCAAAGGTTGTTTAAAACACTTAACTAGCAGAGAGAACACCAATACCCCGCCTGAGTGCTCTTGGGCTCAGAGTGGCCGCAGTGGTTAAAGGAGCAATGTTTTTAGAGACAGCAACAGGTAGAGATGCTGTCGTGAGTCGCCCTGGCTGGAGGCTCCATTCACGTGAAACCTAACAAGCTCATTTTCCACGTCTAACTCCGTTGCCCTGTCTTCTTATTTATTTTTGTCCCTTTTTTGTTTGTTTGAGAGCCCTGAGTGGCTTTAGTCTCTGTGCTGCTGGGCAGGCTCTGCAGGCCGGCCGGGGCGTGGCCTGGGCATGGCCTCCGCAAGCCCTCCGGGTTTCCACCCTCTGGGTTTGAGCGACAGAGAGAGAGAGAACGAGTTTCTGGGACTGCAGGCCTCTCTGGACGGGTCAGCAGCCAATGTCCGGGGGTCATCAGTTACCTGCAAGGCCACCTGTGGGGCTGTGAGGGGCCAGAGAGGGTAGGCATTTCTGCTTTACTCTTTCTCTTTGACTGATGCTGACAAGCCGACCATGGGGAACTCCGTTCCCAAAACAGAGGCGTTGAGGAGTGGATGCGGAGGCTGGGAGGGTGCCCTGCCACCTGAGACCTCGTGAGCTGCTGTGGGACGGGGACGGGGACAGGGAGAGAGGACAGTGGTCTCGGGAGCCACATATGCCGGACCCTGAATATTCGGTTACAATCTATCCCATGGCTGGTGGAGAACCATTAAAATTTGTGAAAGGTAGTGATAGGTTTAAAAAAAAAAAAGTGTTCTGGACAGATTCATGGGGGGCTGCTGTGCTTTCAGTATGAAGAGAAGATTGGAAGCAATGAAAAGAGTCAAAAGGGAAAGTTTGATCATGTGTCCTAACAAAATTGGGGGACTTCCCCCACCCCTGATTTTAAAGATAGAGTACTTTTTTTTGGTTATTCCTAAAAGCCTAACAACAGAGCTTCATAGACATGTGCATACACAGTTACCAAAGAAATCTCATGCCTTCTCTTGTGCTTAGAGTTGCATAAATAACTTACGATCTTAGCGACATTTAACATTGCTTGATTAAATATCAATGAGGAAACCATTATGATTATGTCTAATGACATCGGGTCATTAGAATTTATTATCAAATGGATAACATAATTCAATTACCTCAATCTTATTTTCATTGTGACTTTACTGATTTTAATAATTGATTTTACGAGTGTGTTCCATAACTTATTTCTGGTATTTTAAAAAGTATCAACACATTTATTTGAATTTAGTACTAAGGTGATAGAAAGGAGATCTGATTGGTTTGGCAGTGAAAAGGGTCTTTGTCTTTTAAGTTATTAGAACAAACTAA